AACAAGGAGAAGACACAAAAAGCAAACATGTGAGCTGCATCCTAATACATCCAACAACCATGTAGACATTATTGGCATAGAAATGTGGCCTCAGATATGTTACAAGTTCAAAATACCATAAGGACTCACTGGTGGCACTGGAGCATACGAAATAGAAATGAAGAATCAAGCAAGCACTGGACAAAAAAATAGTTTAAGGTAGAAGCGAAGGGCCTATTTGTTTGCCTAGACAGATCTGCAAGTGACACGTGCCGGCAGAAAACCAACCAGTGCCACCTCCTAATTCTTTTCATCATCATTGGCCTAACTACATCTGAAACGCTACAATGTTTCTTATATACCTCATGTTCAAGCAAGGACCAAAATAGTGAAGCAAACAAGAAAAGGCGAGAAAGGAGACCTACGGATCGGATCTGTCGCCTCTGCCGTGGCACACGACGGACACGGACGCCAATGCCACCGTGCTCCACCAGGAAGACCCGCCGCTAGCCTCCAAAAGGACACCTAAGCCACCACAGCACACTGGGGAACCTCCATTGCCGCCGCCATCGCTGCAAGTCCAACGAGCATAGATTTGTTTCCACTTGTAGGGGATATATCCAATATATAAGTCAACCTGTCTGCATAGAGAACATATACTACTCCAAAGACACGTCAATACAACCAGGCGTCTAGTGCAATGGTGAAGGCGGTCTATTCCTTGCTCTGGGTCCCAGGTTCAACTCCCAGGTCTCATGGTTTTTTTTTGAGTTTGAATTTATTAAACCCCGGTGGCGACAAGTGACACGCAAGCCATCGGGTCCCACAGATCGAATGGAGAAAGGGTCCACAAGTGACACGCAAGCCATCAGGTCCCACAGGTCGGATGGTGATGGAGAAAGGTGCCATTAGGTCCCACACGTCGGACACGTGACACGCAAGCCATCAGGTCCCACATGTCGGATGGAGATGGAGAAAGGTGTCGTCGGATCCCACAAGTAGGATGGAGAAGGGTCCACCAGCACAAGTGACACGCAAGCCGTCGAGATGGAGATGGAGAAAGGCCCCATAGGTACACGTGACACGTAAGCCATCGGGTCCCACAGGTTGGATGGAGAAGGGTCCCACAGGTACACGTCGCATGGAGAAAGGATCGAGCAGATACTTTTATAACGAATTCCAAGGGTCACGGATGAGTAACTACAGGTCCCACAGGTACACGTCGCATGGAGAAAGTACCGTGTGGAGATCTATGACGAAGCACTTTCGTTACACATCGAATATTGTTCGTCATAGATCAATAATTAGTTCAATGACGAAGCCCTGTTCGTCACAGTTCTGAATAAGATCGTCACAGATGAGCTGGAACAGTCACGCGAGTGATCTGTGATGAAACCATGTGTTGTTCTGTGATGTTTTTTTGTGACAATACCCGATTTCGTCATAGATAAGGGGTTCGAGGATCGTCACCGATGATCTATGACGAAACCAAAATTTTCATCATAAAAAGTGATTTTTTATGACGGTTTTGGATCCGTCATTATCATCTTCGTCATAGAAGTGGATATTTCTAGTTGTGCTTTGAGCCGCTAGATGCTTGCTTCGCAGCGGCAACACCGCCTTTGCAGGCGACGGCTTGGGTGGCTCACGAATCAGTTGGGAGGCCCTCTTACATGTCACTTTCTTGGTGAAGTTCTCGATGCGTCGCTTGGCGGGGGTGTCGTTGTCCATGGTATGGTGGGAATCCACCGGCGGCGTCCTAAGAGGGCTAGCATCTTCGTGCTCCGCGGATTCATTGACCTGTGCACCGGTTGCTAGTCCGCTATCCACTGAGTGGGGCGTGGTGGTGATGTCTGTAGCACAAAGTTGGCATGCTTAGACGGCGTCTATTGCCTTCCCAGAAGGCCACAGGTGTAGATGCAGGAGACCACCACCAGGGCCTCATCCTCCAGCTTGGCGGCCGCCGGATTTGCAGTCAAGCTCCGAAGTGGAGGGCACGTGACGATCTGGCTTGTGGCGATTGACTGCGAACTCTTCCTGCATCGGGTCCTCCATGGCGTCGCGACTAGCGAGGTGACATGAAGCCACAAGGTAAGTACCAATGGTTCGGGCACGAGAAGGCGCGACCCGTTGGCCGGCTCGCTGCGATCGACCGGAGCGGCTGTCGCACCGCCGGAGGAGGTGGTTGGTGCAACCAAGATGTCATGCCCTGGCCGCCTCCGGCGTCTCCTACGTCGGTGTCGGTGCGTGGAGAGAAATTTTGGCTCTTTAACGCGTTTATAGTTGTGAGGTATTATAAGAAAACACTAAAATGATGATGTATTGCAATATTTAGAACCCATGTTTATAGAGCAAATGTGATAGGAAATCAATTACATGGCACAAATCTACAACAGTCAATCAGAAAATAATATTCATGGCTTGCCAAATCTGAACTGAACTATTTATTCATGTTATGCACAAACATGCATACAAGGAGCAAAAGCTGGAACAGTAGAAAACTGCACCTATGCTCTCTAAATCTCTAATACTCACATCAGCCTAGGTGCCAGAGAAGCATAGACACTTGATCTGCTATACTATTGTGCCATCTTGGATAGCTCAAGGCTCCTTTTAGACAAGTGAGAACCAAATGACACATTTTGGACTGAAAGCTTCACCCTATGCTATCTAAAATATATGTTTTTTTGCATCCGGACTATATATGTTATACAAAATTAATGGCGAACCTTCTAGCCTCATGGACAATATCCCAAACACAAACACATGGCCGGCAACACAGTATAAACTACTCAATAAAGAATTGCGGCCATTGACAAACTAGTGAGTAGACAGAGAGCAGTGTCATCATCAGATGGCATATAAGAAAGACTGGGAGCCCAAACAAGCCCTGGCTGATCAAAGTATCAAACACCTAGATACTACGACCTGACGTACAAAACACCAGAAGTTATACTCCCAACACAGAAAACAAGCTAGGAATGTCCAGCTTATGTTCTGAACGCTGACAATCCGGATATGCTAACACTAAACCACCAAATCGCGCTTACCATCACCAAGAGAGTTGTAGTCTGTAGACAGCAACAAAAACAGCTTAATGGAACAACAAAATATGAAACTTTCTTTCCAAGACTGGCTGCTTCTCAAGGATTCAAAGGTCTACTCAGAATCAGGTATCCAGACATCCTGAAGTCTTACAGTACAACAATTACTCCAGAAACACAACTGACAAGAAAAACTGTCATTAACAGTACTATTCGACAGACCAATATTCTCGTTATCCATTGCTCTCAAAAGTATCTCACTACTCCCATGCTAGTCGTCCTGTACTCCTGTAGCCTGCACAAAACACACAGGAGAAGTTATTAGCACACTCATATTATACTCGCATGAGAACAGGAAATTATTACTTAGCTACTCGAATTGTGCATTGCTTCTATTTACAAGTGACCTGAAATTGAAACACTTGATACATTCTATTGTAATGCCATAGGTAACAGAAAGTATACGCTTTTTTTATTCCGTAGTTGGTACCAAGACTGATCATGTCTACAAAGCCATCAATCATGGATTCATGGTAAGATATAGTCTGGGAATCACAGTGTTTCAAACTTCAATCAGATTTTCCCAATAAATTCAAAATTCTAGCAGCATGACAAGAATTGGACATGTGACTCCCAAATAGAAAGTTAGGAAGGCAACTTGTCTCTCAAATGGTGATGTTTTCACTTAATCATGATTCCTCAAAACAGAAGCAGGCAAAATAAAATTTTATCAAAGAGATGAACTGTCAGCTACTCAGCACCCTTAGGAGAAAATCAATCCACATTATAAGCATCCATCCATAATTGATCATCAGTAGGGTTTGTTCAAAAGATCCTTATTGGGGGGTGGGGGAGACTATCATGACTCTAGATTTAGAGGGAATCCGCCATACATCACATTGCTTGAACCACCATGTTTGCAGTATGAAAAGTTGCAAAAATGGATTTCAGATAACAAAAATAAATCAAGGGCCGATACTATACAATGTACAATTATGTTTGGCTTGGTAATAGTTGAGTTGGACAATTCAACAGCGTGTTCTAGCATAATAGGTCCCATATATAGAGTTGTGAGGTCCAACTCTCGTCAGCAATTCAGACAAAAGAAAAAACTTTGCAACTTGTACTGAATCTAAATAAATAACTCTGATGAGTTACAAACTGATTCTAACCTAAGGCTGAGATCCAAAATTGAGTTCACAAGTCAACAACCCGTTGGAACCAACGACTTACATAATTGCTACTGCTACTATAAATGTGAACAGATGAAACTGAACTAATCAACTGTTAGAATTTCTCTTCTAATAAGTATACTGCTAGAATTTGTCTTCTACAGTAATAAGTATATCCGACTCTGACCAAAGATCATGCAGGACTATAGATGTCCATCTGGGCTGCCCGCCATGGCACATTATAGTACCGTGCCAGGCATGGCCCACAAGTACCGGATCAGGCACGGCACGCCGTGCCCCCGTGCCATGCCTCTAATGGCCACGGGCCTTACTGGTGGCCCAAGCATGGCACGACGTGCCTTTTTTTGTGCCGGTCTAGCCCGGAAAGCACATGCAAATTACAGGCCATGCCAGCCCGCAGCCGGTACCCTTGAGGCATCTCTATTACTCAGAATCAAAGTTTCAGAGATATATTCAAATATTCATGGATTTATTCACAGACTCAAAGTTTCATCAACATTCACATGTTTACAGATCACAAGTTCACATTCACTTTACAGTTAACACTCACATGCTCCTTACCGGATCAACAAAGAAGCAAGCCAATCAAACAAAAGCCAACAAAACCAAAGCCAAAAGAGAAGACATCAGACTACAAAAAATATGTTAATTAAGCTGTTTTGTGCAATGCTGCCTTTTTAAAAACCTTTCAAGGTAAAATTCACCCTTGTGAAAAACTATTATGAGGTTCAAATACTCATATAGTGTACATTTGCTTGCATTGGAATTTAAATGAGCGCACTAGCTAGCTACTGCGGCACTTGAAGATACGGATAGGATTGACTTCAGTTCCTGTCTGGAATCCAGCAGCCATGGAAGCCGAAGGGTAGGCCGTAAGGCAACCGCAAGCGGGCAATCTCTTTGAACGTCGCCGCGTCCAGCAGTAGCACATAGCCGTCACCGGCCATGGTTCTTGCAGTAGATATGACAACCCCTACACGAATTTGTTTTGCACATGGTCAAAATAAAACACAATGGGTTCCACGCCATCAAGAACATAGACGTTCTAACGATCCTTTTTTTTTTTGAACAAGACGTTTTAACGATCTATGTAAAGCCAGAAGAATGTCTTATAGTTTGGAATGGAGGGAGTATTAAACTGACCATCATCTTCATTGGTTGCTCCCGGCCTGACCACGAAGAAGGGCTCCGATGGCACCGTGCCCTCCTCGTGCCAGCTCCTGGTCTCTTTCTCCACCAGGTCCATCTTGGTGAGCGCGTTGAAGAAATTGCATGGCCAGCGCGGGTGCAGGCGTACAAGTAGCGGTACTCCTTGCTTATGTAGGCTGGATTGATGGTACTCAACTCCACACCCCGGCCGTGCTCATCAGGGTCCAGCACTGTCTCCAGCTCGCCCATGGCGCTGCCGTCTAGAGGTATTCTGAACCGCGCGACCCTGCCCATTTTCTCAAAACTCCGGCTCCTGATCGAGACCTCTCAAAAGATATGATGCATGGTACCTGGAATCAGGGAAGTCCTTGGCGGTCTCCGGCGATCTTAGCCTGTGGAGAGCAAGTGCCTGGATGATAGAAGGATCAGCGTAGTACTCGCAGCAGTCGGCGACCACGGCGCTGGCCCGGGCACCGTCGTCGCCTTTCTCCTCGTATGCGTTGATGAAGTGAAATGCCACGAAAGGAGGCACCTCTACGCTCGCCACCAAAACAAGATATATATACACAACACCAAGAAATCATCAAATTAATTAACCGATCCAGATCCAACAAGTTTAATTTGCACGTACGTATATAGTGACGACGTACCGTGTTTCCAGTGGATCTGCCAATGACGTGCATGTAGCTTCCGGAGTCTGGTAGCCAGTCCATTATGTACAAGGGGGTGCGCTCGGACATGAGCATGCGGGTGGGCGAGTGCCGGACCGGCATCTCCGGCATGACGACGTACTTCTCCGTGACGGCAAACGAATGCACCCATGCCGGCGCCATCGTCCCTCCCCGGCACCGCACCCTCCCGAGCGGCAGCCCCGCGGTGTTGGCACCATCCTGAAAGCTCTAGTTTTATTTTGGTGAATTGATGAAACCTTAAGTGCTAACCTAGTTTATCAAGTGATCATGAGATATGTAGCACACTCTAAATGGTGAAGCAAATGAAGATCATAGCATGATGATGATGATGGTATGGTAATGATCAAGTGCTTCGACTTGGAAAGAAGAAAGAGAAAAACAAAAAGCTCAAGGCAAAGGTATAATTTGTAGGAGCTATTTTATTTTGGTGATCAAGACACTTAGAGAGTGTGATCACATTTAGGTTTGATAGCCGTACAATTAAGAGGGGTGAAACTCGTATCGGAATGTGATTATCAAAGTGCCACTAGATGCTCTAACTCATTGCATATGCATTTAGGATCTAGTGGAGTGCTAACACCCTTGAAAATGTTTGTGAAAATATGCTAACACATGTGCATAAGGTGATACACTTGGTGGTTGGCACATTTGAGCAAGGGTGAAGAAGTTAGAGGTGAAAAGGAGTTAGTGTCGCTGGCTATACAGTGACCGGACGCTGGACTTCTGGGGGACCGGCGCGTCCGGCCATGTATAGCAGTGAAGACACCAGCGTCGGTGAATGACCGGGCGCTGGGTCATGGACAGACCGGACGCTAAGGGTCTGGGTCCGGTCATGTTGTCAGACGACGCAGAAGAAAGTCACTGTGTGACCGGACGTTGGCAGCGTCCGGTCAACCATGACCGGACGCGTCCGGTCGAAGAAATACGTTTCTAGAACCTTACTGGAAACGACTGGACGCTGGTGGCTCAGAGTCCGATCAGTTGTAGCGGAGCGTCCGATCAATAGATGACCGTTGAGATCAGACGACTCCTGTTGAACGCAGTGTGACACGTGGCTGACATCGGGCGATCGGACGCTGGGTCCAGAGTCCGGTCAGTATGACCAGAGCGTCCGGTCACCCCGATCAGGGCTTAGTGAAGGGGTACAACGGCTCTATTTCATGGGGGCTTTTATTTAAGCCCCATGGCCGGCTCAAGCTTATACTCTTGGCGATTTGCATTGACATAGCAACCTTGTGAGCTTAGCCAAAGCCCTCCCACTCATCTCCATCATTGATTCATCATCTTTGTGAGATTGGGAGAGAATCCAAGTGCATTGCTTGAATGTTTGCATCTAGAGGCACTTGGTGTTTCTGTTTTGCTGCGGGATTCGCTTGTTACTCTTGGTGGTTGCCGCCACCTAGACGGCTTGGAGCAGCGAGGATCGTCGAGCGGAGGGTGGTGATTGTCTCTGGCTCCGATCGTGGTGATTGTGAGGGGTTCTTGACCTTTCCCCGGCGGAGCGCCAAAAGGTACTCTAGTGGATTGCTCGTGGCTTGTGTGATTCTCATCGTGTGTTGGTTGTGCGGCACCCTATTGAGGGTTTGGCGTGTGATGCCAATTAGCGCATGAACCTCCAAGTGAGTGAATCGCCACAACGAGGAGTAGCTTGCCGGCAAGCAAGTGAACCTCGATAAAAAATCATTGTGTTCATCATTTGATTCCGAGGTGATTGGTCTTCATTGTTATTCACTCTTGTGATTGATTGGCTCCTTCATCTACACGGCAGTATAACTTTCATGATTACTCTCTTTACATTACCGCAAACTAGTTGTCAAGCTCTTTAGTGTAGTTAGTTGTGAGAGCTTGCTTGCTTGCTTGGTGTGGCTCTTTAGTTAGCCTTTGAGAGCACACTAACATAGGGTAGTGTCATAGCTATTGTGTGAATAGATACTATCTAAACTAGAATTGTGGTAGGTGGCTTGCATTTTGAGTAGGCTAGCGCAACTCTTGCTTCGCCTCATAATTGTCTAACCATTTTGTTAAGTGTTGTTGTAGAAATTTTTATTAGGCTATTCACCCCCCCCTCTAGCCATTAGGACCTTTCAAATGGTATCGAAGCCGAGGTCACCGTAATTTGAGGCTTAACAACCTTCGGTGTAAAAATGGCCCAAATCAACAACACAAAGAAGCCACCCTAATTTGATGGCTCCAACTATCCCTACTAGAAGGCTAAGATGACAACTTATATCAAGTCAATCAATAAAAGAGTGTGGAAGGTGGTAGAAACAAAAATTGAGATTGAGGATCCGGAGAATCCCACCGCGGCTAAAGAAGTGCTTCTCTAAAACAATGACATTGCTCTAAGTGCCATTCATGATGCAATTGATGAGAGAACATTTGAGCAAATCAAGAATATTGAGATGGCTCATGAAGCTTGGAAGAAGTTGGAAGAATCTTTTGAAGGCACTCAAGCCATAAAGGGTGCAAAGGCATACATTCTCAAAGAGAAGTTTGCAAGCTTCAAGATGAAGGAGGATGCGAGTGTGCCGGAGATGTTCCATAGGCTTCAAGTGCTTGTCAATGATCTCAAAGCACTTGGAGAAGAGGTGAAGGACAAGGACTTCTCCTACAAGTTCTTGAGATATTTGCCTTCAAGATTTGATACATTGGTCACTATTCTAGTGAGGAGTGGTTTGGACACCATGACACCAAACCAAGTGTTGGGAGATATAATGACCGATGATACATATAGAGATGATGATGAAAAGAAAGAAAATAGTGAGAAGAAAGATGAGAAGAAGGATGACAAGAAAAAAAGTGTGGCATTTAAGGCCACATCATCCAAGGGCAAAGCCAAGCAAGAAACATCAAGTGAAGAAGATGATTCATGGGATGATGATGATGATGATGAGAACATGGCTCTCTTTGTCAAGAGATTTGGTAAGTTCATGGTGAAGAAGGGCTATCGTGCTAGAAGAAAGAAGTCTTCATCCAAGAACAAAGAAGAGTCAAGAAGGTGCTTTAAATATGGAAGCAAAGATCATCGTGTTGCTCAATGTCCATACAATAGCGACAATGATGATGACAATAAGAAGAACAAGAAGAAGGACAAGAAGGAAAAGAAAGAGAAGAAGGACAAGATGGCCTTCAAGAAGAAGAAGGGTGGTTCATATGTGGTCACTTGGGATAGTGATGCTTCCTCAAGTGATGATGATGACGATAGTGATGATAACAAGACCACCAAGAAGAAGGTTCTAGCAAGCATTGCTATTAATGAGAAGCCTTCTCTCTTCGACTCTTCATCATGCTTCATGGCTAAGGACACTAAGGTACAAACTTGTGATGATGAAACTGATGAAGAACATGATGATAATAATGAAAATAAAAATAAAAATAAAAATGATAGTGATAGTGATGGTGATGAACCTACTAAGGATGAATTATTTGACATGCTAGAAGATGCTAGAGAACACTTTGACATCAAGAAAAGGGAATGCAAAAGCTTGCGTAAGGAACTAAAAACCCTTAAGCAAGCCTTTGATGAGCTTAATGCATCTCATGAGAGGCTAGAGGAAGCCAATGAGAAGCTTGGCAAAGCTCACAAAAAGCTTGAAAATGCTCATTCCTCTTTGCTTGATGAGCAAAATAAAAAAAAGCATGTTGATACTTGTGATGTAGGTTTAACTTGTAATATAATTGATAAATCACTATCTATGCCCATCATTGTTCCTCCCACTAACCCTTCTTGTAGCATTTCCACTTCTACCTCATCTAGTAGTGATGGTCTCACTTGTGATGACTCACTAGTGGTTGAGAATGAGAACCTCAAGAAGGAGGTCAACAAGCTCACTCACACCTTGGCTAAGGCTTATGGTGGTGAGGACCGCTTGCTTATGTGCTTGGGTAGCCAAAGAGCTTCTCTCTACAAAGAGGGATTGGGCTATATCCCCAAGAAAAGCAAGGCGACCTTTGCTCCTCACAAGACTAGTTTTGTGAAGAACAATGGTTGGTTTTGCACTAGTTGCAAGCAAGTTGGTCATAAAGAGCATGAATGCAAGAATAAGAGCAAAAATGCAAATGTATCCTCCATTAAGTTTGATTCATGCTATATGCTTACTAAGGGCACAAATGGTGTGAAGGCTAAGTTCATTGGTAAACCATGGATGGACTCAAAAAAACATAGCCATTTGGGTACCAAAGAGCTTAGTGACTAACCTTCAAGGACCCAAGCAAGTTTGGGTACCTAAAAAGAATTGATCTTCTTTTGTAGGTCAATTACAAAGCCAGAGGAAGGCATTGGGTTCTTGATAGTGGGTGCACTCAACACATGACCGGTGATGCAAGAATGTTCAACTCAATCAACACCAATGGCAATGATGGTTATGATAGTATTACATTTGGTGATAATGGCAAAGGCAAGGTCAAAGTGCTTGGTAAGATTTCAATATCCAATGACATGAGCATATCTAATGTGTTGCTTGTAGAGAGCTTGAATTTCAATTTGCTATCCGTGGCTCAATTGTGTGATCTTGGATTCAAATGCATATTTGGGGTAGATGATGTAAAGATCATAAGTGTAGATGGCTCTAACTTGATCTTCAAAGGCTTTAGATATGAGAATCCATACTTGGTTGATTTTAATGCTAGTGAAGCTAGATTATCTACATGCAAAGTTCAGCTAGGCGCTAGGCGGAATCTACGCGCTGACCCATTGCCTAGCGCCTAGTCGGGAGTACTCGGTCCTAGGCGCTCCTAGGCGTTTTCCTAGGCGTTTTGGCAATATAGCCATAAATTATATATATATTATGTATATAACTATATATATGTATATAACTACTATATATGAGTCACAGTAAGTATAAAAAGAGGGCCAGTAGACATATCTGATTCCTAGCTGGCTTACTCTTGCTTTCTTGCACTTCACCTTGTCCTTGTTGCTAGCATCAACAAGAACACCATATTTCCATCCAACATCATCTGAGTTCCTTTTCAGGAGATTAGTTGCCTCAGTTCCTGTTGCATCTGGTGCATAAACACCTTGTTCTTTCGACAGCCTACATTCAAATTCAAGAGTTCAGTCATACTTCTCATAATCCAACTTTATTTTTATGGCAGCAACAAATATATACTTGTTATAAGTAAAATGACAACAATGCACT